CTTAGAATGGTGAGTATACCTATGACAACGAAAGGCTGGTCATAGCTGTGCATGGTGACAGTCAACCGTGATTAGATAAGTCAGTCAAAGGGGAAGTAGTCTCAATTACTTTGGTACGATCTTGACCGACGTGACTGAGTCCATCAATTTCTGAACTAGGTCTTAGTGGGACAGTGTACACGTCGGGCCTTGTGGGCCTTCCTGCGCCTCGGCTTCTTTTTGGGAATTAAGTCCGCAGCCACTTGACATACCGCAAACACTAGACTGTTGTTTAGCATAACTGCTACATCACGCTCTTCACCAATCCAGGAATAACTTACAGCCTTTCGTGATCCATCCGTCGTCAATTGTCTCCCCATTTAACCCCTTTTTGAAGAGGCGCTCGCATCCACCATCACTGTCGTGGTATTTCTTGAAATCCTTCTCGCTAGCAACTAGCTTTACGTCGCATTTGTCGAATCGCGAATACGGCCGCCCTGGCAACTTCAAGATGCGCTCAATTCCCTTAGCGATAGAGTAGCTGTTCGTGTAGCCCGTCTTGTAAACGTCTGGTGAGCCAGTGCGAGGCCGGAAACGATAAGTTATTTCGTAGTATCTGCAGCTGCGAAGTACTGCCATCACTAGACACGTTAATACATTAGGCGCATTCTGGGTTTGCGTCACTTTACACACATCCAGGAGTAGCCCACCGACCATTGTTATCAGCCTTCCACTCTTCGCCAAGGATCTCTACGGGCCCTTCGTTGTGGTATATCTCTTTCTTCCTTTTAACTGCTTTTCTCGTAACGTGAACTGGGTCTCCAGCTTTCCATCCACGGAAGCCCGATTTTTCGACGAGTTCGTCAACAAGTGTTTTCAGGAATGCGTGGTTCGTGATGCCCTCACTCCCTCCGTTGCTAAGGATGACGCCTGCTATAGAAAGATCTTCGGGAAAGAACATTGAACAGATGTGCGGCATCGTCGTTATATGTGATGGTAACCTAATGGATGCAGTGTGGTGCAGTGAAGCGTTGCGTAGAGGTTCCATGGTGTGAGTTACTGTTGAACATAACGCAGTCTGACACATGCCAAATGACTCTTGAAATCGCTGTGTCAACATGGTGCGTCAAATGGTGAGGAGTAATATTTTGAACTGTGACCGTCAACTGCAGTGAGTCACATCTGAGCCAGAGGTTAAATCATGATGAGATACGTCTATGATACACATAGCTGAAAGAACCAGATGAAATGCCACTTGGAATCGTACGGCCGGAGACAGAAACCAGAAAACACAAGTCCATCAGCAGAGATCTGGGGCTCGAGTTGTACCCTCAGTTATAGCAATGGAAACATTGGGGGATTGAGACGCGAAAATTCCAGTGCCTCCTGCCGCTTTCTCTCATGCTCAATACATGCGAGGCGTGCACGATTCACTGTATTAGTACTTAGCATCAATTCATGCCACTCTCTGGAACGTTGCAGATAGAACTTACAGCCATCTGTGATCCAACCTATGACCTCCTCACACTCGTATTCCCATGGCGCATTCAGCTTAGGCCTCCCATCCTCATGCCGCAGCTTCCTAAGCTCTTCCTGGTTCTTCACTAGGATTACCGTCACATTTATCTTCCAACTCCAACCCAGGCGCTCGGCTGCTTTAACCTTGCCCGCAATAGCGTGCTTGTTCGTGTAGCCGATCTTCGCAAAGCAATCCGCGCTGGAGTTCCATTCGTATTCTATCTTGTATACTTTGGCGAGTTCCAGTGCGGAGAGTACTAATGACCGTGTCAGCACGTTAACTTCCGTATAATACTCCAGAGTTGTACGTACGTCCAGGAGTGATCCATAAGCCGTAGTCTTCTTTATCCCACCCCTTCACCTTCACGCAGTCCTCTTTTTTTATATTATGCTTGATCAGTATCAGCTCCTTGGCGATTTTGCTCAGGTGACTCAGGTCCAAAAATTCCCATCTTGGTAGGTTGGGGTCTCTGGTCGATCTCTCCATGAGTTCCCCTATAGCGGGAGAATTAGTGAAGCCGATGTCCATGTCCTTTTCATCGCATTCTCCCTCTGGGGGAAACTCCGTGGGAAAGACGACAAGATAGAGCTCTGGCTCTATCGTCAAGTCGATAACTGAGTCAGGTATCGAGGTATCCATGGATGTATACGAACAGATCTGATCGAAGTAATGGTGTTGTGAAGAGTGTGTTGAAGTGTAAGCGCAGATACACCAAGATATAAGCGCTCGCACGCTGACTGCGACAATGACAGCATGAGGTATGAGTCTATAGTAGTGACTATCTATGGATATGATTCAGCAGGTGAGTCAAGACAAATGTCAGCGCGGTGACTGCCCAGGTGCGATGGTGACTGCGATGGTGACTATAACAATGATGTACGATATCTAAATGGTGAGTAACTTTGCATTGATGAGTAGGCATGTCACACCCTTCTTCATGACTCTTACTTGCAATGTAACGACACAATATATCGGGAGTCAGGGGTTGAACAGTCACAGAAAGTTCAGCAAGATCGTAAAGCTGATGGGACTTATCTCGGTATCTTTGTTTCATCACACAACTATTTGCGCGACCTAGTAAAAGTTGCTCCATTGGCAGATGTCCAGCCTCGAGATCGTGCTTTAGTTCTTACACTTGTAGCTATTTTCCGCCGCCGAACAACCTTTGCAAGAACCCAGGAGATTTAGTTTTGCGTCCCACTTCCACTACCTTCTTGTCTTTGCTGATTTTCCTCTGAGCCAGCAACAGGAGGTATGCGTCTTGAACTAGATTATCAGTTAGCGTGGCATTATTCTGTGGATTACATGAGGACTCACAGCCTGGGGTAATCCATCCGCCGGGCCCCTTCGCGATATCCTTGCGGACAGGCACAGCCCCTCCATCACTGTCTTTGGCTTCTTGGAGTTCTTTCTCGTTTTCCGCGACGTTCCATTCGTTGGCATGGAACATCAGGGGTGGAGACGACACGGCTTCATTGAACTCCCGGGCGATATGGAACTCACTAGTATGGCCGTCAATGGTAGGGCCATCCTCACTAGTATCTTCGCTAGTACAATATGGTATTGTGTAAGACCTAGCAGCTCTAATTCTTGCCAAAACTAGACAACGTATTAGTCTACGAATGCGTGTTTCGTTCTGCGTAATTTAACGTACGTCCAGGAGTTGCCCATCGCCCCTTCTCGTCACATTGCCATTCGTCGCCCTCTTCAATTTCCACAGGCTCTCCATCTTTAATTTTGTATTCTACCATAGCTTCCGCCGCCGTCATGTTGGGAATTTCTTTAATCTTCCATCCTCGCTCCTTCAGACCATCTTCCTCATTGTCGACGAAGCCCAAGATGCTTATATAGTTTGTGAGAGCCTCGATCTTCTCATCGACAGGAACAGTGCCTTCTTTAGGAAGCGTTGCGGGATATTTTACCAAGTAGACCTTTTACATGGCCGGTATAGACATGTTTTCTGTTGGACTATTAGGGCGCAGTGAAGCTCTATGTGAAGGATCGATGATATTCCAGGAAACCCTTCGATACACCGAGATCTTAAGTAAGTACACTGACTCTTAAGTTCTTCGCTGAGTCGACGTTGAGTCAAAGAGCGAGAAATAACACAAATAGACATAATCAGATTCATCGTCGAGGACTACTTAGGTACAATGAACGTAATCTCTCTGTCTCTCCTCCTCCTCTCCTATTTCTTGACCTTTTCCCTTCGCTTTCAATAGTTCGTCTGCTACTTCGTCTTCGCCTAGCCAGTCCATATGTACTTTCACCATCTCCGAAAGCACTGCAAATAACCTTAGCACCTGCCCAAAGCAGCTCTCCGTAAACAGACTTACATCTAGGGGTGATCCATGCGTCCTTCTCAGAGCATATCAAATCACACAATTCGCTCAGATTCCCTAGCCCCCCATCCTTGATTTCGCACTCCTCGACATCTGTAACTTCGATGAGAACACAACGGTCGTCACCCTTGCCTTTCTCCTCATCTTCATTAACAATCTTCGGGAAGAGATCTTGGTAAAGCTCTTTCAGCTTCGTGCAGTTTGTGTACTCGAGTATCGTATCTTGTTTGGTGGGTCCGACGAGATGCGTTATTTTCCAGATTTCGTGCATTCTTGCAGCGGGTAGATCTTTGTTGCTTTCAGGAGGATAGATTGGAAATTCGTGACTGGTAGCAGTGTTATGTAATGTTTAGGAGACGAAGGGACATCACGGGAGTATGCGTATCAATATATACACTTCATGAAGTGACTGTAACGCTGTCATAATAGGGCATGAGCCAGCGGTATAGTCATGGCCGTACCCCACTGCTCTCTTATGACTTTTGGGTAACAGCTCAGGATGCTGTACGTGCGCGAGCAAGAGTCACGATACCGTTGATTGACTCACTCTTTGGGTGGTACAAGGCGACACACATTCACTGTGATAACACAAAGACGACAATACGATGGTAGACTAAAAGAGGCCTCGATTCTATCTAGCTCGCAGGCTCGAGCCCGGTCCCGCACCTCCATCCACCATTGCAGTCCACGAAAGACAGAAGATCGGTGTGCAAAGATTCCCAAATCCAAAACATCATGCCATTGTAACGGTACTTTTGCGGCGTCACCAGTCGCATATATCATTCCAACCAAGCTCTCATATGCGCATTTCATATCGATACAGTGATCATCCGATCGATCGACAAGAGCCCACAAAGGTAAGCTCCTCTTCATTTCGAAACGACATACAAGCTCCAAAGAGTACGCCCCGAAACACCCAAGCAAGGTGGCTAAGCGAGTGACGAGGCAGGACGATCGTCGGCCGACAGATAGCCATGTGCCGATTGAGTGAAGAAAGGATATGAAAATCGTAATAGTCCGAAGACAGCAAAGGAGAAGACATGGCAAGTATGGTGTTATGCCGCTTTGCAAAAAAATGCTCGCTAGCAGATGCGTTGTAGGTGAAGATCCGAATCATATACAGGAAGATAGTGCTGCTTTTCCTGGCAACACAGTAAATTCTAAGAGGAGATGAGAATCTAAACCCTCAGGCGAGGCGATTTTTATCTCTGAAGAGACGTTAACGGCGGACGCTGTTAGCAGGGGACGCATTTCTGCTTACTCTGCCACGTCGCTGGTTGCCTCCAGCCGCCTGCTGGTGCTGGGGTGGCATGTACATGCCGTAAGGAGGGTACATGCCGGGCATGCCCTGACCGGCGAGGTTGGCGGGCTGCATCATCGGTGATCCGTTGAAGCTGCCGGGGCCTGCAACAGGCGACGCGTTGCGGTAGGCATCCATGCCCGGAACGGGGCCTTGGAAGCCGTTCATCTGAGGGTAGAACTGACCCTGTCGGGCCAGGAGCTGCTGGTACTGCATCTGCTGCTGGTTGTTCATGGCCTGCATGTTTGGCATGTACATGGGTCCACCACCCATTGGGTATTGCTCGAAGCCATTGGAGTCCATGCTTGCTGTGCGTTGGAGTGCGACAGGGTCGAAGCCAGCTGCCGCTCCCTGATAGAATTGCCCAGGGTTTGGCGGTCCAGACGCAATGCTGTCCTTCGACGCTGGGCGGGTTGCGGAGTGCTCACGATGACCAGGTCCGCCACGAGTGGAAAGACCTACCTCATCCATGAGTCGCTTGTAGCCCTGTTGGGGCTGCGCCTTGATGCGAAGAAGAACGTTGCGAACGTTTGTTACTACATCCGCACGGATCTGCTCATCGAAGAATGGAGTGGTGAGTACCTTGAAGATCAAGGTGGCACCGCAGTTCTGGTCGGCCAAGATGCTTTCCAGTACCTGGTCGTTGGGAGAGAAGAAGAGTGCCTGTAGGATAGTGTCACGAGCTTCTGGCTCGTTGCGCTGGTTGATGATCTTCAGGACGGTGAGGTATGCAACCTTGTGTGTGCAGAGGTGGACAATGTGCGGAACTAGGCGGGGAGCCAAGACCGTACGCCTCCTGGGGAAGGTGCAGGTATCGAGGAACCAGGTCAGGAGCAAGGCACCGTTCGCGTTGGTTGCGAGCTGCACGCTGTGAAGAGCGATTGCAGCAGCTACCATGCGCTGCTGGTCCTTGGTGGCATAGTGGCTCTCCAAGCAAGCTCGCATGGCACGGGCACCGAATCGACCTTGGGCGAGATCCCAGAGTCTACCCAGCATGACCTCAAAGATGAAGTCGTTGAACTTCTGGTACTTGAGGCAGCCTTGCATGACGTAGTTACCGAATTGGTCGAGGAAGAGAGCCATAGCATAAGGTTGAACAGCATCGACGACCATCTTCTGCATAGTCTCAGACTTGGACACATCGATGATCTTCTGAGCAGCCCATGTTCCGTTCTTGTGCACACCAATCTTGGCCAGATGCGGGGCAATCTCGCGAAGCATGGCTTCCTTGGTCGGCTCCTCGCAGAACTCGAACAGCTTCTGCACGACGGTGTTTCCAAGGTAGTCAGACGACAGCTCGGCGATTTCCGGGAGCATGGCCATGGCGATGTTCTCAATGTCCTCCTTGGAGCAGGATCCGTTGTCGATACGCTTGCGGATCTCTCGCAGTCTAGGAGCGTCGTGAATGCGAGTGTGGCTCGGCTCTTCGACAGATGGGATCTCGTCGACGTAGTTGTTGAACTGGACAGCCTTCTCGACCTTGGTGGTGATCCTTGTCTGCTCGTCGTCCGTAGCGCCCAACTCCTTCACAATCTGGATGATGTCGCTGCGGATGTCGCTGAGCTCAGGGGTGGTCAAAGGCACATTCGCAGGGATGTTGGCCACCTTGGTAGCGGCGGCAGAGCCAGCTGTGCCCTCAGCCTGAGCCTTTGACAGTGGGTCAGGGCTTGGTGAAGGGAACAGACCATTGTGGCCGGGGGTGGCTGCTGCGCTTGGAATCTTGGCGTAACCGATGCGGACGGGGCCAGCACCTGGGAAGATCTCCTTTCCATTCAGAGTTGACTTCGCCTGGACTGCACTCTCGAGATTCTCGTAGTTGACGAAACCGCAGTTCTTGTGTGTGAGGACGCGGGTAGACTCAATCCCACCGTACTGAGCGAAGATGACCTGGAGCGACGAAACGGTGGTCGAAGATGGAATGTTGCCAAGCCACAGCGAGCGAGTGGGTCCTTCCAGAGTTCCATCATCGCCGAGGTTTGAGCCAGGCAAGTGGAGCTTCTTGACAGCCTCAGTAAGATTGTACTCTGCATCCTCAGTCAAGTCACCGGTTCCCATGCCATTGTCAAACCGGCCCATGGCGGGCAAGTAGGGCCGCATCATGCCCCGCGAAGGAGCATCTAGCACGCCGGCGGTGCGAGCACGTGGACGCGCGTTGGAGGCGAGGTTCGCAAAGGCCTGGACTTCGAGGTTGTGTTGACGAACAGCTTCGTGAATGAGAAGGGCATTGGCTTCGGCAGGAGTGATGGTGCCGCTGTATGCGCCATATTGATCCTCTTCCTCTTCGGCGTACTTCTCCTTAGCATTGACAGAGTATGAACGGAAGCGGTTTGCACCACCGGAGTTCTGGTTGTTGGCGTTCCTCTGGCTCTCGAGGAGGAGCTCAATATCAGACGGAGCCAGGGTAGCTCGTGCAGGCTGCGGGGTGTCGACTAGACCCAGGTAGTCCAGGGTCTTGACATCGGTGTCGGCGAGCGAGTCGCGGGAGAAGGAAGACCTAGGCGAACCTTGTCCGTTTGACGGCACCGAGGCAATGCTCTGGAGTGTGCTGCTGCGGTCACGCTGGTTTGACCAGCCGCCCGAGAAGATGGAGTTGCCGAACGGCGAGTTGGAGGGAGGCAGGTAGCCACCTGGTCGCTGAGGCATTGAGCCAGCACGCAGACGTGAGAGCAGTGCAGACTTGGCCGCAGCGTTTGTAGACCCGAGCGCGTTGAAGCTCGAGTTGTCGGTCGGTGTGCCTGGCCCAGGCTTGAAGGGGCTCGTCGAGGGTGTTGGCCGGGAGCTCTTGGGGAGCAGCGAGCTGCCGGACATGAGGCCGGGAGGGGCAGCGGAGGGGGAGAAGCGCGAGGGCAGGGTACCAGCGCGGGCGCGGCGGTTGGGAGCAGGTGCTGCTGACATGGTGTCTGGCACGGCGTTGTTGAAGTCGGGGAAGCTCAAGTTCTCGCTGTTGGGGGACTCGGGGATGGTCTCGCGCAGCGGCGTGGAATTCCCGCTGGTAGGAGGTCCCCACATTTGCGGAGTTAAGCCCTCCTGTGCCTGAATCTCGCGTGCACTGTCAGGGTGTTAGCACGAGTCGGAACTTGTTTCAGGGTGCGACATACCGTTTGGAAAATAGGCGGCCGCCATAGTCATGCGACGGGGACCCGTTCCCGAGCCTCGCGTTGCCGAGCGGGTTCGGGGCATTGCCAGCGAAGCGCAGAGAGCCGCTGTTGGGCGGCTCGACAGGCGAGGTGTTGCCCGTCGAGGAGCCCGAGTGCGGCGGCTGGGGCAGCTGGGGGATGTAGTTGAGGTTGATGTGGTGTTCGGGGCGGTTGGTGGTGGGAGCCATTATGGATTACAGACCCTGCGGTGACCGTGGTAGTCTAATAGGGAAGAATAGTCGTCGTGACTCGGTTACCAAAGCCAGGGTAAGGGATCGAAGGAGGGTTGGTGCCGGCCAAAGGAATGTGAGGCGAGGGATTATTGCCAGCAAGACCGGGCTCAGCACAGCGCAGCCTGGTGTACAGTGAAGACGACGACACGGGTTGGATCCAGTCCGGGGGCGGTGGTGCAGCTCGACGGCGAGGGAGGCCGCGAAGGAGTGACGGAGACTGGGCGGGTGTCGATTATGGTACGGGTGCTGTACAGCAGCAGGCGGGCGGAATAGACAGATCACCGGAGTGCCTGGAGAACAGAAGTAATAGGATTAAGCGGACGAGGGCCGATTACGCATGCGAGCTCGTGCGGAGGCGGATACAGCTAGTTGTCGCGGCGGGAGCAAGAGAGCGATGAGCGATGGAGCGATGCTTGCGAGGGAATGAATGGTGAGGTTCGCTTGATAGAAATGGGGAGCCACCAGGAACACGAGGGAACTAGCTCAATTGGGCGGGCTGCCAGAACAAGCACGTTACAGGTTACGGCACGATCTGCGCGGTCGGCTACGGTTGTAGGTGGGCTGTTAAGTGCAACGGCGAGTGAGGTTGCGATGGCACGGCTGCGGTGCTTTGCTTTTGTACAATTCAGGGGCACACAAAGGGCGCCCGGGTGGCTCCAGGGCTGCGTCCTGCAATTGTGTCCTTAGTGGGTGGCCGCGGGACAGAGCAGCGCATGCCCGCCAGCGTCTGAAACACAGAGGCGCGTCGAGAAAGTCCGTTACTCCAGAATCTGACGTGGACACTGTGTGCCTCTGCCCGGCCAGGAGACGTGATTGGCCTGCGGCTGCTAAACATGGATGGAGGTGCGTTGGGGTCCTGCATGCATACCAACGGCCTATTAGACTTTCTGAGCCCGAAGCGTACGCCATTACTGAGTCTCTGCTATCATCTAGCATACAATTTGGCACGCAATCAAGACTACAGACTACGACCCTGCAATGCATCGACGCAGCATCCACACAGTCGAAACAACCCTTCTGGAAAACATATATGTCAGACCACGGCGGATATGCCTTGTGCTGCACGTCCTGAAGTAGACAGGCTGACAGGCCACGCAGACCCAAAGAGCTTTAGTGAGGCGTTGACAGCCGATGGTGCGGTACCTTGGAACGACGTTTATCTATCTGATTCTATCATAGGCGCACTAAGTTTCAGATGCAGACGGGCCGCGCCAAGCCTTGCTGCTGACTTGGCGACTTTCCATGGCCCGTCGCGTCATGCTGGCGCGTGCTCTCGATTCCGCAATTCACGACATGCTGCCATCACGCCGCTTGAAACAATCCGCATAATACCGCACTTCAGACGAACCCGCCGCCCTGCAGTCCATGCTGCCAACCGTTCACCCCACACCTGGAGCGCATAATCCGTGTCACTGTCGCATGGAATCCTTCTGGAAAGCCTCGCCCAAACCTTGATCGCTGCCGTCCGACTCGCTTTGCCTCAGGCTCCAGTCCCCTCGTCTGCACCTTCCCCGCCGCCCTCGCGCCTGCCGCCGGACTTCCAACTCACCATGTCCGAAGAGCTACCCCAGGCAGCCGTGGAGGATGCCCCGCCGTCACATCGCGATGACGAGTCGGAGGCATCCGAGGATGAGAGCGAAGAGGAAGCGCCCGCGGAGCTCATGGTCACGTCCAGGGCCAAGCGATCCAATGCCGGCAATCGCATGTCCATCTTGCTCGCCAAATCGGCCGAGGAGGAGGAATGGGGCGAGGAGTGGGAGGAAGCGCCAAACGAGGAGGAGTTCCAAGGCGGTGATGTCAATGAGCAGGAGGACTACAACATGGATTCGTCATCGTCAGAAGAGGGTGATGACGATGCCGACGAGGACGAGGCGGGCGAGAAGGAGCTGCGCAAGGCCGAGCGACAAGAGCGCAGTAAGAAACGCAAGGCCACGACGAATCCTTTCACTGCACGAGTCGCCGCCCAAGCACGCAAGAAGGTCAAGCTCGACGTTCCCCGCACACAGTCGCCCACACTTGCGCCGCCGCGACCCAAGAAGAAGTCCGAGAGGGCATCATGGCTACCCACCGAAGAGGATGGCCCGGTTCGAATGTCGATGCGCAAGCAGACAGTGGCAAACAAGGATGCCACACTGGCTAAGCTGAAGGAGAAGGACCGGAGGCGCGATGACACCCTGGCTATGATGAAGGCTGCAGAGGCGCGGAAGATGAAGTCCAAGGAGAAGCCTTTGACGCAGGCTGAGAGGCTTGCTGAGGCTGCTCGGAATGAGCGCATCAACAAGAAAACCCTGCACAGATGGGAAGAGGCAGAGGAAGCCAGGGCAGCAGAGAGGCAGGCCAAGATTGACGCCCTGAAGAATCGACAGATCGATGGGCCCTTCTACCGGTACTACAGCGGGCCGGGCATCTGGGTCGATGATAAGCTCAAGTACACAGGCAAGGACGCACCGAGTCTGGAGCAGCTCGAAGAGAAGCTCAATAAGGAGGTCGCGGCTGCAGAGACGTCAACGCAGTCAGAGCCTACACAGCTTCCGGTACAAGCTCCAGATAACCATGCAGATAATGCACAGCCTTCTTTTCCGTCTCTGGATCAGTTCAGTAGCCCAACACACATGCCGTCAATACCCGCAACCATGCCCCCACAACAGGATAACTCACAACAACCATGGACAGCAGCAGCATCACAAGGCGGCGACGTGTTCATGGGCTCGTTCGGCATGCAGCATCCCAGCACGGTAATGTTCGCACCACCCAGCCAAGACTCGTTTCTTTATGGCATCGACCAGTACGCCCAAGATCAGCAATCCCAGCCTATGCATGGCAACGAACTTCCTCCGTTCCCCTTTACGGAATCCTCTACCTTCCAGAATCAACAGCATCAACCTTCAGACGCACAAACAGCCCTCTTCAACCAACTACACCCCTCCCTACCCCAGCAAAACGGCGACTCAGCAATCGGCCCTCAAGCTCTCCTAGCACAGTTCCAAAAACCTGCCTTACCCCCTCAGCCACCGCGACGCAAAGTCATACGCAGAGCTCTCCGTAACCTCCTCATCCTATCCAACTTCCCCAACCTAGAAGCCCCACCAACATCCTCCTCGCGAGCCAGAACAGCAGCCTCGCTCCTCAAAGAAAAGGACAAGTCAGCTTTAGTCCAGCTCTACACAGCACTCTTCAACTGGACCCCAGCCGAAGCAGCAAACTACATCCAACAAACCCTCATCGCGCCTCCGAAACCACCCCGAAAGAACGCCGCGCCCAAAGCCGAGCCCGAGATCGTCCTCAAACCAGGCCAAAAGCTGTGTCCTATCACCAACACCATTGCCAGATACCGCGACCCGGAAACAGGCATCGCATACCGCGACGCCCGCGCTTTCGGCGTGTTGAGAGGTGTAGTCGGAGGTGGTTTCGTTTGGAGCGGCGATTTGGGATGTTATGTGGGAGGCAGAGCTAAACCACTGGAGAGTATGGGCGGAAAAGGCTTTCTGGGTATGCCGCCGGCGAAGAACGTACCGAGACGGTTTTGGGAGATGAGTAGTCCGAGTAGGAAGGTTGTCGCGCAGCCGCCGCCGCCGCCGCCAACACCTACGCCGGCTGCGAAGGTGCAGACGCCGGTGCAGAACCAGGTGAAGGGTGAGGAAGGGGAGAAGGAGGGAGGGAAGGAGGCGGCTGCGGAGAACATCATTCTTGCTGCGTCAGGTGGCGGCGAGAAGACGAGCCCTAAGCCTGTTGAAGCGGGGATTGCTGCTGTGGAGTGAATGACGGGGCAGTGAACTAAGTTCCTTTGTAATAACATACATGATGATTAGACAAATATTCATACTATTAATCCACTTTCCTCTTCTAGAGGCATGTTTCAAAATGCGGCGTTGGACATGACTGTAAGTGCTTTAATCTCTTTTTAGCAGAGTAAAAGTGAAGGTGAAGTTGGATTCCTCTCTAGATCGCGAAATCGCAACTTACTACTGCTCTGATCGCGCTCCCACACAATCCTCATGCTGCCCTTCCCCTATACTCCCCGATACATCTTCCACACCACAGCAATAGCAGCACGTCTCACGCTCTCAAAAGCCGCCCGCGGCCCTCCAACACCAACGCAACACTTGGGCGCGCCGACACTCAGTCTCACCGCCGCGCTCTACCCTCAAGCACGCCCATCGTACGCATAAGCTAGCGATATATGCCCATACCGTTCCCACACGCCGACGTCACCGCGTCTGTTCATCGACGCACGCACGTACGCACTCGTCAACCAATGCACCCATACCCCCAACACCATCCACGCACTCACGCTCTTATCCTTCTCCACGCGATGTACTACGTCCACGCAATAATCCTCACCCTCGTCCTCATCACCTTCTTCTGCTGTCTCTTCGGGTACTACCTCATGAAGAGCTGTCGGCGGGCTATCGATCTGGAAGTTCACGAATTGGGGTATAGTAGGGATGTTGAGGCTGGGATAAGAGGAGGAGGGGGAGGTGGTAAGAGTGCGGGAGGGAAGAGTAAGAGCAAGAGCGGAGGTGGGGAGATAAAGGCGGGGGAGAGTGCTGGTGGAGGGGGAAATGGTAACGGAGGAAGTGGAGGGGGTAAGAGCAGTAAGGCGAAGAGTAAGAGTGGAGGGGGAGGTGGAGGAAGTAAGGATGGGGGTGGAAATGGAGATTCTGGAGGGAGTAAGGCGAAGAGTGCAGGAGCTGGTGGTGAAGCAGCTAAGAGCAACAGCGGTGGAGATGGAGATGCTCCCGCATGGGACGATACCGGAGCAGGTGGAGGAGCAGCAGCAGCAACAGGAGGAGGATGGGACACCACCGGAGGAGGCGGAGCAGCGTGGGATGCGGGAGGGAGCAACGAAGTCAAAGGAAACTGGTAGAGTCAATCTGGGCAACATCAGGTATGTCAACAACCACTATGTCGATACCAAGAACTATACTAACCACAAACACAGACATCCTTCCACT